AGCAAAACTGTAATATGGCTTTTTTATGTTACTTTTAATGTAATGGCTTTGTCCCAGCTAAGGGATATTTCAGACCCTGCTGGGGCAGGATTCCTTTCATTGTGGATAATGACACTCTTTGTCTTCAGCCAGCATCTTCCCCTATTCGTCTACTTTGACTCTAATGTTGAGACACACATTTTGCACATTGTTTGAACAGATAAACAGGGTATCTTCAGACATCTGAGAGTTGTACCCAAAGACGAGCCAGAATTGTGGAGGTCCACAATTCCCTTTTAGCATGTTGGCTAATTGATTCAGATTTTTCCATGATTCCACCATTATAAAGCATATCTTTGAGGTTTTGTAATAAAATATACCCAAAAGTGGCTCCATTTAATTTTATAGAAATAGTAATTTTGGGAATCCAACTATTGACATGTTTAATCTGATTTAATGTCCAACAGTTAGAACAACAGTTGTATCTATTATATGTAGTGAAACTTAATAGCTGTGATTTACCTGTAGATGAACTGCTAAGATTATTTACTGCTGTGAAAAAAAAACTCAGAGATACATCTGCAAAAGAGTGATCCATAGAATTACTAACAACAGCACATCGGTAAAAGTATTGTTGTCCTCTGGTAAACTAGCAGCATACACTGATCTTCAATGGGAATATTTTTTTAGGAGAGAAATGTAGATTAGAAACATCAAAACGTTCAGCTGTTAAAATAGCATTTTCTTGTTAACTGTAATGATCTAAAAAGAAACTACATTTGATCAAGGTCTGTATTATCAATAGATTCTCGTAATATGGCAAATGAAAGGATCCTTTAATTGGTTTAAATATGATAATGAATCCTAACAGATGTGCATCTAAATTAGCTTTTATTTTTCTCTAAAAACTTTACCATGAATGGAAGGACGTGTTTATTCTACTGACAGCTCTGCTTTGAGTGTTTTTTTTTGTGTTTTTTGTGTGTCCTTCAGTTAGCAAAGCAGCTGCTTCAGTATCTATATATATGAAAAATCTAAATATCATTTTTCCCACCACAAGTAGCTAAATTAGCATGGAGGTATATACATTTATTTTAAATGTGTATGCCTTGGGTTTGATGCTGAGCAACTGTCTTTAAAAAAAGAACAGAGAAGAATACACATCATCGCTGCTATTAAAAGATTTAATCAATGCTATTTTCACACTGCATAAAGCTGCCATAACTCTATTAACACAAGCTTCCGTCTAATATATATAATCTGGTTTCTCAAAAAATTTCTAACACCTTTTCAGTCTTCACAGAAGATACTTTGAATAGATTCCTTTCTCGCAATGTGACAGTTTATTAGCACTTAAATTGGAGGTGCTGAAGTCTCACTAACATAAATAATATAATGCGCTGGTGAGTGCCTTCTTTTTTTCTCACAGCATCGACAGTTTGGATTTTAAAGGAAATCAGTTGAAGTCAAACATTATTATTCATGAAGTCGGTTATCATTTTACCTCTGTCAATCCAAAAAGGAACAATATCTTTGAAATTGTTATCATTAAAATCAGGAATACTCAACCAGACCTTTAAAACTGGATTTGAATTGAACATGCAGCTACGCCCACATCGACTTAGACTCATTATTTTCATTGACAGGTTTGATACTAGAGGAGCTCTTCTCTTCTTATCTGGTGGATGCGAACATAACTGACTTTTCAGGAGGAGAGGGCTGTTGCTCTTTATGCCTATAATCTTTCCCAGGCAGCGCTACACGTAAAGAGTGCTAATAATAAAACACTGACTCTTCTCTTTATCTGCATTTCTATTGTTTTTCCATTGAACCTTTACCCCAAATGACTTTTTTTTCCGCACAACCTGTCGTATTTTGTTGCATTTATATGAAAGCCTATGATACAGTTAGCGTTAGATTCGGTGCATTAACAGAACTGTACTGCTTTCCTCAATCTCACACTCCTGTAGAGTTGTTGACTTGGAAACAGAAAAACCAAAATAACATGGAAGGTAGAGAAGTCAACTTCTCAATATGCTTGTAAATCTGTTTACCCTTGGAAATATTTGCTACTGGTTACATTTACAGAGGAATGGACTGTTATGTAGGTGTGAGGATGTTATAATATTCAGTAAAATTACAATACTTAATCATGTTTGTCATTCTGCTCTTTATAGTGTGATATCAGTATAACAACCTGATGTTTGCATAATCATTGCGGTTAAATGCTCAAACTCTTAGGCTTTAAGCTTGTCAGACATGTGGTTCTTAGCTTGTTGCTAACTGTAGTTAAACACAAATGTTATTTAGATAAGTGAGGTAAGCAGCAGTAATAGTTGTCACACTATGTCTAAAAGATAAAAAACTGCAAAATTTAACTTTCTTGCAACTAAATAGAAAGTGGAAAAACATTCTTCCAGATATCCAACTAACAGTACTCAGTATAGGATTTAGAGCTCTTATCTTTCACCTTTATTGTATGTTCAAAGGAAACCAAAGCAGAAGTGACAAATAAAACCCAATGGATGCAGATTTTATCCCCCAACAGTATCTAATTATGGCTGATACTGAATCCATCTATCGATATGAATCAATAACTTCTCCCATTTCTAGAGTAAGGAGTGAGGATCTCCCTATGCTGTATTCCAAAAAAGTTCAAAAAAAACAATCCACTGGACTTGGTTTCAAGAAATGTTGCTTCCCATCCAGGAAGCTTTTTCAGTTCAAAATGTCAGAATCAGGGTTGAGTTCAAAGTTTTATATAGTAGAGAAGCGAAAATTGGAATGACTGAAATTCTTTGGAATTACTATGACCTGGATGACTGAGAATCTTCACCTCCCTCTGCTGTAGTTTGCAGTAGAACAGAGAGAAGATTAAACTTTAAGTATAATATTTTTTTGTAATTGCATATTGTTGCACCATGAAG